ACCTCAGAGCTGACCCAGCTTTGAGCAGGAGGCTGGTCTAGACACCTCCCAGGGTTCCTTCCCACTTGAGGATACCTCCTGAGGAACCTTCCCGCTACAATCATCACTGCTACCACATTGCTTCAAGCTACTTCCCCAAGCACCTCCCACAGAGCTGTCCCAGCAGCTACTACGCTGAGGTGCAGGGTTGGCACAGCAGCCTCAAACACCTGTAAAGAGGGGATGGGGAGCATCTCCCACTCCAAGATGATTCTTCATTGAAGAAATCTAGAAGCTTGACAGCCCCAAACATCACCTGGACAAGATACAGGCCAAACAGGCACACAGCTGGGGTCCCTGCCAAAGTGTTTTGTGGTGGGGTGTGCCCAACCAGGCTCAAGCCTTCACTGGGAGAGCGGTTGCCTTCAGTGAGCAGCATGCCTGTGTGCACAGGCAGAACAGGTGGGAATCACAGTGGTCTGACAGTTCTCACACAAACTCATGAGCAACTGACACATCTCCGTTAAGGAGCAGCCTCCTCCTGACCTGTCCAGCTTCCAAGTCAGCACATCCACAAGCTGTTCCTTCCTCCCAGCCACTGAAGCACCTTTATCCTGCTGCCCAGAACAGTCTGCTTCATGTCAGAGCCCTCTGCCATCACTCACCATGGCCACACACCACCAGTGGCTGAAGAAGATGTGACCCATCCATCACTGTCACCCAAGTCAGAGCTTGAGCTGCTGCCCGCAACACACATGTGGGTTAGTGGAGGCCCCCTGGATGCCCAGGGCACACACCACATCTTGCAGCCCATGCTGCTCTCTCATGGGTCTGGAAAGGTCAAGCACAGCACAGCCAGCCCAGGAGGTTCCTCTTGGCACAGGCAACCATCAGTGCCACTCCCATACCAGCCGTAAGTTGCGCTGATTGGCATTTCATAATGACATGACTTTGCCCAACGCATGTGTCATCACTACAATTTCAGTAATGACAGTGAGATCTTTATCACAAATACTCGTTTTTCACCTAGTTTCATCCTCAAATTCTTGACAACTGACACCACCGAAAACAGGATGAGAAAACACTATTATTTATTCATACTGAGGCAAACCCAGGCCTTATTGGGCAACCACAGCACAGTTCTACACAAGGTGCTGCAGGTCCATGGACAGGGACATGTCCTGCCCCAGAAACCTTGGGTGCAGATACAGGTAAAAGCCAAGTTCAATAACAAACAGTAAGGGGGAAGTGGGAGGGGTGGGGTGGGAAATCTGGCAACAGGCATTTAAATAGAGCAGCTGTGAGGGTTTCACTGCAGTTATATTTATGTATAGTTTTCATATACATAAACACACACAGAAGAACTGTAGCAGCAATTAGATCAGCAAGGGTGGGATGAGGCCTGCTCTCTCCTGATGCTCCTCTTCAGAGCTCCAGAGCAGGGTTTAGTGCTAGCCCATTTCTCAGAGTGCTCTGCTGAGACACCCCTTGAGCAACCGGTGCTGCAAAGGAGCTGCGATGATGCATGTAGGAGGCAATTAACAGCCAGGTCAGTGATTAGGGCACGCTCTGTTCCTGCTGGGCTCTGCTGTGACACCGTCACAGCTCTGTCACTTCTGCCCAGGTCTTGCCCCACAGGGAGGCTGGAAGCCAAGGGTGATCCTCCACTAGCCCTGGATGGGCACTGGAGAGTTATCGGTGTTCACCTTGCCATGCATTGGCACCACATGGTGACACAGCACACCCCTGCCTATCCTGCACTGCTGCAGACCAGCTGTGCTGAGTTTTGGCCAGCACATCCCCGTGGCTGGCTAGGCTTCTGGTGGCAGCAGCAACACAAGCCACAGGGCCAGACGTACAGGGACACAAAAGGGAAAATGGGGTCCTCTGCCTTCCACACAGGACCACGTTGCTACACACCACGTGCTGAGGAGCTAATTTGCTCAGCTTTTGCAGAAACAGGTTGGCATGGAAGCAACATAAATATTTTCAATGCACTGTCAGCAGCGTGTCCTCATCACCAAATCCCACAGCTTTTCAGTGTGCTTACAAGAAAAGTCTAAAATGGTGAAGGTTCAGGAAAACCATTCCAGGAGCATCAGTGGGTAGACAGAATGGGGCTTGTGGGAGCACCCACCAGCTGGAGCAAATGGCTGTCAGCTAACCAGAAGCATAGAAGAGAAGGTCCCAGAAGACCAAAACTATGACAACATCCAAGGAAAAATATATCCTATTTCCCCAACAATAACATGAGAATGGAGAGAAGCCTCCAATCCCCAGCATGAGGCTTTGGCTTTGTAGCCCGCAGCGTGCCCTCCACAACAGATGGTGTGTCCCAGCTCTCAGCAGTGGTCCCCACCTGCCGCAATGATCCCATTCATCTGAGTCTCATACTGGCAAGAGACCTTTGATGGGAGAACTACTGAACACAAAAGCCACAGGAACATCAACCCTTATTGAAAGCCTTTATCTCTTAAAGTAAATCTTAAACCTCAGCTCTGAAGCAACTTCAGATGCCAACGCAGACAGTTCTAAAATACACACACATATAGATATGGCTCTGAGTGTAACATAACCAGTCGTCTCAGACAATCCACTCATGCTGCTGGAGCGGTACCCAGCCTCAGCCCCACCCCAACATGCTGCCTGTGCTCCTGGGGATGGCAGGGACAGGCACCAAGTGTTACCCTTGGTGCAGGCAGCAGCTGCCCTCACCACAAGGCACAGCAGCAGGACCTGTTGCCTCAGCCAATGCAGGAAAGCCTGGTTACCATCAGAAAGCAGAGGAAGCAAGCCAGAAGATTTAGCAGTTTTCGAACCTTGACAACCTTGGCTTAACTTCATCAACAACCACAATCCCTTCCTCCACACAGCACCATACCTTTCCAAAGCCATCTCTTGGGGGACGCAAGCTATATCCAGGACCAGCTCCTGTGTTACACATCTCATTGGCAACTCCCATCCCACCATACCAGTATCTCCCACTCCTCCGAGGCAAACCCCCTCAAATTTGAGCCCTCCCCTGCACTGCCTAGAGCCTCAGAAGAGACTGAGAGTTAATGGGAACCAGCTGCTTGGATCTGCCCCTTTTCTCACCTACCAGCTGGTTTGATCTACTACAGGTAACAAGGAGCAACCCAGTGGGACAGAAGCAAGCAGGAGTGCTGGTGGGAGTAGTAATTCTCTCCTGTGGCAAAACACATTTTCACTGGGCCCCAGAGAGAAAGTGGGTACCAAGCAGGTCACCACAGAAGCACAGCTCTGGGCTCAGCTGGAGGTTTATTGTTGAGTGGCACCAAATCTAAAGCTCCCTTCTGCTGCCAGAGCCCCACCAGAGGGGCTCCTCAGGCTGGCAGAGCTATAGAACCACCCAAGCTTCCTTGGCATCCACTGAGTGCTCCTAGACCAGATCTGCCCTAATATGCCCCGTGGAGCTTTTGCAATGAGATAGTACCTTTGTGAACACCCTAATGAGGATGGGGCACCTTGGGTACTCCTGTCTTAGGCTGCTAAAGGTGAACAATTAGAAGGCATCAAAGTTAATCTCAGTGAGCTATAAACAATGTCACTTGGCATATAACTTAAAATTTCATAATGCTGGCCAGCCTGTTGTGGCTATGGCAAGGTATCAGGGACCTGAGCATGCCTGTGATGAGCTTCTAATGACTTTGGGGGAACAAGCTGAGGCGACAGCCAGTAGATGAGCCAGCTCCCAAGAGTGTGGCAGGTGACTGTGTAGCATGTGCTCCATGCTGCAACAGAGGTGGCTCAGAGAAAACTGGCTGAGCTGAGAGCACAACATATGCCAAGGTTTGGAAAGGAGGTAATTATTTACTTAGCTTTTCCTGAATTTTAAGTCACAGTTCAGACATGATTTCTGGTCCCACTTCAGACTGTTCCACAACTAGAGAAGACCCCTTGTGCGGTGATTTCAGCTGTCCCTCTGAACTGTGCAGTGTGGCCAGTGGGGCCCTCTGAACCACTGCAAGCATCAGTGCTAACAAGCTGCGCTGCAAGCCCATGGCATCACTGCTGGGGTCATTCCTGCCAGCTGCCAGGTCCTTCCATACAACCTCACCCAGGTATGAGCTCCTGCTCTGAAAGGACACACGGTCCCCCTTTTGCCCTTCGAGATACCAATATGTTAAAACTTGCCCCACAGCACATTCACAGATGTGCTGGTCACAAAAGCTTGTCTTCCCAAGCAACATGGGAGCTGGGAATGAGCAACCTGCCTGTTCTACCACCTACCACAGCTGGCTTGGGCCAGCTGCAAACATCAGTCACTACTTTCTGTCTTTTCCATCCCACTGAAGATCGCTGAGCTGAGAATAGCTGCCTGGAAAACACAAAAAATACCCTGATTAAAAGAGGATTATGTGCTGACAATTATTTTAATGCAGCATTTTTAAATTCATTTAATATCAGCCTCATTAGGTGACCTTAACACAAATTTCCATCCTTGATCACATTTAAAACCTCATCAAAACTAGACTGTTTGGGGTCTCTTTCCCAGGAAACCTGTTCCCCAGAGGTACCCTCTGTGAACTGGGGATGTCTGACAGCAATGGGGACCAGCAGCACATGCCCAGTCACGTGTGGGTTCAACAGCACAGACCTGCTGGCTTTTGGCAGCTGCCCAGGTGCCCTTCCCCTCCCCTGATAAACTGCACATCCCAGCAGCTGCCAGGAAGCCGTCGGGCTCCAACCCCTCCTCATGGACAGCATGCCATTTATCATAGGGCTGATTTTAGAGAATGATGGATTTATCTGTGCTGTCCTGTTTAATAATCCAAAGTATGAGCAGGATATTAGTTTTGTAATCTCTCCCAATCTTTCTGAAATACAGTAATAAAAAGTAGCGGTCGGGAGAATCTCTTGTTTAATATATTTGGGATGAAAATTATCTGGTCCTGATACCTAAAAATGGCCATCCTTATGGTCACATAATGGCCACATGCTATACCATAGCCGCTCTAATATGCACATAACACAACTGAAATTGTGTACACACACACACACACTTTTAAACATGAATATTTACTAACATAAATAAACGGTGTTTTATAACAAAAGGCACAGATTTTCAACTATAAACAATGGAAAAATATTTACAATTTGCACATACATAATCCAACAGCAAGTGCACAATTGGTCACCTCCTTTTCTGCATTTTGAGATTTAGTTCCTTCCAAGCAAGTCATTTAGTCAGTTCTGCAATGTCCAAATTTTCTTTCCCCACAAAAACTGCTACCGATGCCAGAAAACAAATACTTCAGCAGCTCAAGTTTTCAAATGGAGACAGTGTTGCTAACTTCTTCATATTGGATAATAAAATAAGGGTAGCTCTGATCATCATTAAAAATGACAAAAATCTGAGGCTCAAAGAAATTGTCCACACAAGAGTCATAGAGGTCACTGGTAATGCTGCCGGGGTTCACTGGTGGAGGTCTCCTCATGGTGTGGTTGCCTACCGTGTACCTTCCCGTCAGTACTTTCGCCAAGAACATGTAATGAACTCCTCTGGGTGACCTTTTGGAAAAGTTATGGGAATAGCTTGCCTTTCTGGCAAAGTAACTGCCTTGTCCAAACATGGTGGCATGCTTCCCACAGACACGCGGGTCGAAGTTGTGCTTGCAGATTCCATCCACCACGTCCTGGGAGGTGCCATGGAACAAATGCCTTTCGTTCATTATCCTGTCAAGCCCAGTCATTTTTTTTGACATGTATTCCTTTTTCCTGGAATAGAAAATGGAAAGTGAAGATTAGTATTCACTGCAGATGTGCAAGGGAAACACAGTTTCCACTCCAGCTCTTGAAGTATCAGTATTATCCTCTGCAATAGCAGAGCTGCAAGAGGAGATACGAAAACATTTCCATATGGCCGGCAGAGCAGGTCTTCCACTTTCAAATAAGGCTTTTGTGTGAAATAGGTATGTTTTAAAGGACCTGAGCTCATACTGCAGGAGCCAGAGGTCTCCCACATGCAGAGCAGCAAAGGCAAAGCAGCTTGAGAAGTGCCTGCTTATCTTTGCCTGTATTTCACCTCAGATGCAGAAGGAAATCTTCCTTCAAGTGAAAACAAGGGCTGTGCAAGAATTAAATCCCACTACAGCTTCAGAAGAGGCCACAGTGAGGAATTACTGAGAGACAGGCTGGGTGAAGATGCTCTAGAGCAGCAGGAACACTGTAAGGAAGTCAGTCTTTGCTCACGCAGCCCAGCCCTCGACTTACTCCTGAGACTCTACCTTCCCTGAAAAGGGAGAGAATCCCCAAATCTAATTTCTCATCAGTTATGAAGAGGTCAATAGACAGTAATTTTCAGACACAACATCTCTGGTTTGAATGGAACTGACAGACACAGGATTTCATCTTTGCAAGGCCACTGCAAGGTCCTGGGTCACCATGATCTGGGAGCCATGCCACTAATGGTTATCTTAAATGTAGAGATGACCTGATGAAAAAAATGCCTCCTAATTTGGCTTGAAAATGAACGTAAAGATTTTTCAGCAAGATATCCAAGACTTCTTTTGAAGTTTCTGTGAAGATACATTTTACAGAGGTTATCAGTAGATAGTATAATATTAAACCTCAGGATATTTTCCAGATACAGTTGTTCAACTGAAGATGCTCCGTTTCTTCAGCAAATCTGGAGTTTATGTATTCTACTTAGCAATCAATGTCTATTTTTCAGCCCAAATTGCATTATTTTAAGGTATTTTTCCACTGTGGTAAAAGAATGGTATTTGCATTATCTTACCTTTTATATTTTTCCCAAAGAAACTGATTCTGCACTCTCAGTATTTTCAAAATTTTATATTTGGTCTCTGGCACAGTCTTGTGAAACAGGTTATAAATGGTTCTATAGCTTTTATCTTCCTTCAGAACAGGCACTTGGATGAAGTCCTGAGATGGATCCATACTAATCCAGGTTTCAGGATAGAGGTCTGGAGAGGTAACAGCAGCTGGAGACAAGACATGTGACAAAGCTGGTTCAGCTGATGGAGAGGTTACTGGAGAGTTGCCACCCAACGTCCTAGGTTGGAGAAGGAGAAAAGGTTTGTGCTTAAAACATCACAGAGGAGCTGCTAATCACATTTATTTCATCGCCAACATATCTTAAGCAATTGTTGCTTGTCGGTTCAGTGACAATTTACACATCTTTAACCGCAGACTCCTAGAATGGTTGGGCTGGAAAGGACCAAGTTTATTTATTTAATGCTTGCTGGTTTAAACATGCAGCTATTTCTGCTATTTTAATAACTCCTCTATCCACACAAACAAACAACAAAATCTTGACTTTCAGGGATGCTCTTCAGTGCAGGGAAATCTTACTGCTTGGTGGTGTTTAAAAGCCTGCTATTATCACTATTTACATTCTGGGATGGGGTTACAAACTAGACAGGGGTTACAAAATAGGCAGAATGCTACCAAATATGATTATTCTGTATGTCAGCCATAAAGTATTCATTATTTTAACACAGCAAGTAGGACGTACAGAAAAGATATATATATCTTATATATATATATATTATATATATATAATATATATATCTTATATATATATATTCTTATATATATATATATAAGAAAAGATTAATAATGTGGCAACATTTAACCTAATTTCCTCAAAATACAAGGAGTAGAAATACACACTTTTCTTGCACAGGATGAATAATGACTAACCCCAACTAAAAGCATTTTGTAGGCAAAATTTGCTGATTATGTAGAAAAGGAGATGCTATGTTTTTAGTACTAGTATCGTGCTGAGGAAGGCTCTCAGTTTCATTTGTGCAGGCCAGATGTAGATTTGCATTTGCAGTTGCTTATTTTCATGCGACAGAGCAGCCCCTACTCTTGGGAATGCTGCCAGGTAAGAAGTCAGGGAGGGGTGAAGGAGAAAAGCAGCAGCATGGATGCCAGAAAAGAACAGACATTAGTAAAATCCAGTTAAGGACACCAACTGTGGTGGGACAAGACTTTGTTCTTAACAAATACGTGCATCTCTATGGAGCTTTTACATACTGCAGAAGCTGCTAAATTTAGATAGAGGGTGTGATATTTGTGGCTTATGTTCACCTGATTCTAATCTGACCAAACAAGCCTTATTCATCTGAATAATCCTTACTTATTGGAGCTCTTCCACTTACGTCAATGCAAATACTTTGAACATGTAAAGCCTGCATGTTCAGGCTCTGGTTTTCACAATTCAAGTGAACAGCTCTTCAGCTCCTGCAAGCTGGTGAGGTTCCCTTTCAGTTGCAAAAATATATGGAACTATCCAAAGTTCACCAGATGAGTATTTTACCAAAGCATTTTAAGTGGAAAAGCTGCCATTACTCCAGGCCCAATCCACAATAAATGCAAATGGGCACAGTGCACTTGGAAGAAGGCAGCTCTTGTTAGGACAGCCTATGAAGACACAGGTACCCACCACCTGGCTGGAAAGACACAAGGTATATCTTGCCTCTAAATCCCACAGATGACCTTAAATTAGAATTCATTAACGTTTAATGAACAATAAAGTTCATGAAATTTCTAGGTCACTTGTGTTCCGATAATGTAACACTGCCAAAACATAAGGTGAAATGTGCTCTGACTAGGAGGAAATGGGAAAAGTGAATCCTTTGCATATTTGTCTCGGGCAAGCTGAGGTTTGACAACACCCAAAGACAAATCCTGCCTTCCTGCATATACGCAACTGAATTTTGCACACAGGAACAACAGGCAAACTCAATTTCCTATGCCATCTTTGTAAAAAGAAAGTTTCCTGGAGAACAAACAACTCTCCAAAGCTTTGCTGAAGTCAAAGTCATTTTCTCCACTGACTCTTCAGGAATCAATCTTCTTTTGTTCAAGCATGATGCTGCCTGAAAAGCCACAGAACCATGACTACTGCATCCAGCCAACCTGTTCTTGAGGTACACTGAAACACAATCACAGAGTAGTTTCTGATTGCCCCTGCTCATTAGCCTGCTTTTCTCTGCAGCGCTAACGTAATTATCTAGCTATTCACATCTTACCTACAGAAATGTCAATTAAGATTCCCTTTCAGAATTTTTAAAGCTAGCGCTATATTAGCTTTGAAGAACTGTATGTGTTTTTTTTGTAGGACCCATAAAAAATTTAATGCGATTTTCTGACTGCAGGTTGAGCTTTTCAAAGCTAGAAAAAATGTTTGGAGAAAAAAAAGTCTATTTTTAAATTGATCCGTTTGATTTGGATCAGAGGGACATTAAACGGTAATAGCACTCACACTTTTCAGAGCAGACATACTTTTTAAAGAAGTGTTCATGTGGCTTTCACCTGCTGTTCAAAGCTTGAAAGATTTGCATGGATTTGATTCGACAGAGTTCTTCTGTTTATTAATAGTTTAACAGAAACTCAAAAGAGGGATTTTTCTAAGAATGATTATTAAGATAGAACTCTGCAATACTACAGTGTGCAATTAATTATTTTATTTTTTCCTCCTAAAGTCAGTGGGTAAAAAGTATTACTGTAGAACTTCATTCACTCACACATGGACTGGAAGACCAGTCACAGAAAAAAGAAGATTATGGATTAATGAGTAAGATATCAAGTACAACAAAAACACTGCAGTCCTTTGGTGTACTTTGTTAATTTCTTCTGACTAGTGTAAACTATTTATAAACATTAATCACACAAGGGAAGCCGTTAAAAAGTCAACATTTGTCAACCAGTACCACCCAATTCCCACAGTTTCTAGTCAATAATTCTTTCCCAGTTTTGTAACAGATTTAAGCAAGTTGGAGGGGAGGGAAATAAAAAAGTCTTTGTGATCAGTGGAGGCAAATACTGACTTCTTAAGGATAGCTCTCAGAAATATTTAAAATACTCTTTTGCTCCTTGTTAAGAACTGGTAGATTTTCAATGAAGCATTACAGGGTCTTTAGATAAAGAAAATAAAAATGAGGTTTACTGCAAAGCAACAGAAATTTCAGGGCTTATTTTATAGATTGGGTAGGTATTCATTGGCATGAATAGTTATGGTTAAGCCCTTGTGAGTGTAAAACACACAAGGGTCCACTAAAATTAGTGGGAACTTTATAATTCTAGCATATCCCAGAATTATGATGTTACACTGTAGCAAAATAGTCGCTGCTAGCAAAACATCAGGAGAATACCTGAAATCCTTATTTTTCATTATGCTGATACTCTGAATTGCTGTAACTGGGAAGTCCACACTTAGTCTTTTTACCTGCATCCTCCTGGTATCTTTTTAATTATTTTGGGTTTCCTTCCTGTAAAACTGTATCTAAAAATGTTTCCAATGACCACATGTTTTGAGGCTCTGACCAAATTCTCTTCACCTCGCAATCAGGTGCAGCAACGACTCTGCACACTAATGAGCACTGTAGCCCTACCGCTGCAGTTAAAGCATCTTTGATTGGCCCAGCATGCTAAGCTGCCAGTCAGACTAATGACTTCCACCCCTTTGCTAACAGGGTAATATGTTGCTAACTACTGAACTCTGACAATAATGTTTCCAACTGTGCTGGTGAGATCACAAAAATGGCATTTTTACGAGTCGTAATCAAAAATGACTACAGTGCAATACTTTAATCATTCCGCCTTTCATGGGTGAACACGTTAAACCCCCCTTGAGACGACAATCAAAACAAGGCATGTTTTAATTGTGCTTTAAATTTATAACATCTTTTTGAATGCTCATCTTTATGGGACCTATAACTGTTAGCTCACTATAGCCAGTGAGATGCCAAAAGCTGGACAGTCCTTTGGCAAAGTTTAAGTACACCTGTGCTTCTGATGTTCTGAGATCCACAAGGTGCATTATAACCTTTAAATAACCAATACAGCCTAGCAGCAAGGAGCTCCTCAGATAATATTTATCTTGAGAAGCGCCAAGGGAGAGCTGCCAATATGACTGAGAATTTTTATTATTGCTTCTGATTTTTCTACCCAATGATGCCTATCTCCTCATCACATCTTAAGGAATACAGTTCTCATGGACAGGCCAACGTGGAGAACAAATGCAAAGTTTCCATTTTGCTGGGATACGTACTGTAAAAACGGCATCAGCACAATGCATGAGCGAAGAAGGGGTCTCCTCTTGATTTCTCTTCTGAAACACGCATTTTGCTGGAATCCATCTTTGATGTTTAAGATATACTGATTATGCCAAGTAACAAACCGAACTTCTTTCAGACCGCGGCAGCTGGCTTCTTCTATCAATCTTACAACAGGCTGTTTCAAAGAAATTAAGAAAACAAAAACATACACATGATAAATTACAGGTTCAAAATGTAATTATTTTTGCAAGAGATCTCAACGAATCCCTCTCTACTCCCTTCCTCTCTCCTCTCTCTCCCCTTGTGCTCTGAGGCACAAGTACATTCAGACGGCTGAAAAATGTTCCGTTACCTGTTTGCAAGATGTGCCAACAAGGCAGGTTTCACAATACTGTTTGACAGTGAATGTGATTTCTGTGTCCATAACTGGGGTTAATGAGTTAAAAGAGAGAGGATCTACTTACAACCTGATATGGAAAACTGTGGCTGTTAAAATCCAATGGGCAGTGGTGACACTGGAACAAGTGTCCATAAACCATGAGTGAACAGATTTAAACTAGACATTTAGGAAAAGGTCCCTAAGGAGCAGGGGCATTTGTAGCCCATCCAGCTGCAGCAGTGTACAGTGCAGCCAATGAAACAGGAGCGGGCTGGATCTAGTGATTCTGGAAGCCCATGTCCTGCAATGCAGTATCTTTGGGGACAGGTAAATAAATCAAGGACATGTAAATCAAAAAACTGCATAGCTGAACAACAGTAGAGTTAAAAAGGCTGCAGAGAGTCATTCCCCCTGTCTTAAAACCAGATTTCTAGGGATTAGAAAGTACATTCTTGGTACTGACACAGCCAGTTTGCTCTCAAATTTGACAATTTAGTCAGCCTCTGTGTCTCCAGTGTTTTCAGATATAATTCAAGCTGCAGTCCAGCAGAGCAGAATTCTCCTTTTACTGCTTTTTCAGTTCAACACTGACATTCTTGATTTTGTTCTTCAGCAATAGCTCTTAAGTAACTTTCCTGAATGTTCGAAGAGGAAATAGACTAAAAATGAACATATATAGTATATAATGTACATAAGAGTTCTGGTTACAATCCAAAAGCAGAATTCTCAAATACGTTAAATACCTCAGAGTATTCTCTCCAGCCAAAGTGGTCCCTGCAGAAGTATTTCCAGACTGTGTAGTAGTTGGAGCTGGAGCTGGGGCAGGAAGGTGTGGACAGCCGCCTCATTTGATCAAACTCAACACTTTCATATAATTTCATAATATTCAAATCCACCCAAAACTCATGTCCCCTGGAAAGAACAAGAAAAACAGAATTCTCACTTTCTGTAATCCATTAAAAAGGTATTCAGAGGCAGTAAAGCAGCCAGTCACAACTATAACTGGCACAGCCCTCTGCAGAGATATCCTCGATCTAAGCTGTGCTTGGGTCACACAATCCCCATCAACATGAGGATATCCCACAAGCTTGAAGTGGGCACAACACAGAGACAAGCTAATTGAGGACACTGAAGAGCTGTGAGGGCGAAGTAACTCTTCAAATGTCTCCAGGGACAATGGTGGAAAAAGCATGGCCTTCAGCACAGGAAGACATAAAACCAAACCCAGCAGTCTTCATAGTCCAGTGGTATTTATTCAGTATGCATGAACAGTACAAAAATCAATATACATATCCTTGACATTTTGAGCACAGCTAAGTAAATACATCACATAACCGTATTTGATGAAGCAGCCACATACTATTCAAAAGGTTATTCTTGTGAAAGTTAGTGCTTCAGGGAAGAAAAGAAAATGTAAATGGCTCCAGATGAGGAGCATCTGCTGCCAATCCACCAGAGAGTTTGAGTATCTTTCATCACGTGCCGCAGAGGAGAACTACCATAATCTGAAAAGGAAACATGATTTCACAATTATGGAGCCTACACTGAGGAATACTGGCTTTTTTTTTTTTGGTAGCTATACTGCAGCTACAAAAATCAACACCAGTATGCAACTTCATTGACTGGTGCTTCCAAAAGGACCAAACAACAATAGGATGCTACAAATTAAAAACCAGAGTATATCCATAAAGGGTAAAGTTTTAGATAAACTAAAGGCAAAAATAAAAGGGCACTTCCTCTACATTTCATAGGGCCATGTTTAACAGTGAGCGTGGAATGCCTCCGCAAACACTTTCTAAAGCTATTTCATTAGTCAGTGTTAAAAGAAAGACATCAAATAAAAGAACATTCTTAAGTAAAACATGGATCAACTCTGCTGATCATTAGACAATCACTGGTTTATTAGCAATCAAGAATTGAAGAAATTCATAGAAATTGGAAGAAATGACAGTAATATTCATTCCGAACAGAAATTGGGTGTTTTTTGAACTAGGATTAACATATTTCCAAAATAATGCTGTTTACATAATTAGTTTTCTACTTTCATAATCTCTTTACAAGTTGTCATCTTATTGGTATTCACTAACAGTTACTAATCTTTGGCAACTGGAAATGAAGCTTTTGATACTGCATAAAATATTTTCTTTGAATTCTTAACAGTAAACATAAATCAAGCTGATACTCAAAATCTACAGTTTATTTTTAAAACATTGGCACATTAATACCATAGGGATCAAAATACTGTGTATGAAATTTGCCACATTAGGTGACAGCTATTCTCAACATCTATATGATTTGATGAATGCAGATTTACTTGAGAATGGCTGCAATTTTGCTAGGTATGTCACACTCTGACTGGTACAGTTGCTGAAGAGTTTTATTATGCTGCTTCCACAGAAAACTACTGAAGAGTTCCCACTTTAAAAAATTATGATCAGCTGGAAGGATCCTTCAGTCCTCAACAGGAGGTACAGGTGCATAGCTGTTCTTGGTGTTTATCATCATCAATTAATTGCATTTGGGCCTGTGAAGTGCTAAGCACAGTTTGAAGTATTAAGTGCTTTCCTGACATAGACAAAAGGACAACGGTCTCTTCCTATGGGCTCACAATCAGGCAATCTGATCCACTGCTGTTTGGGTAAATTTATATTGCTCTGTTTTCAATAAGCATTCATGTAAGACTTTAAGATATAGAACAGTCTCAAAAGTCAAATCAGATGTCTTAACAATGCAAGGCATGAGCTACTTTTGAAGTTGTTTGGACACAGAAGTCATTCTTTTTGCAGCTCCCCCAGCACCCCAGACCAAGGCCCCCAAGCACGGGTTTTGTCTGCCTCATTTCAGGGACGACTCGCCCTGTGGGTGGCTATCCCCACCACAGCAGACCTGCCTGCAGGAGCAACAGCTCCAGCCAGCCTTCTTCCCCTTTACAATGAGAACTTGCTACCTAAAAGGAACATCTTCTCAGGTCCCTGCATGTGATACTCTAAAAACTGTCATAGAACCACACTAATTAAGATGAAAACTTTGTCAAGATGACACTATCACACCAAATCAGTTAAGGATTTAACAGTGTGTTCACTACTTCCATCAATGTCATACAAAATCATTACACTTCGACTATGGGTACAGGAGGAAACCAGCTGTTCTGCATAGGTGTATTCTAATAACTTGTGTCTTCCCATCCAAGCTGCATCCCACTGCAAGACGTTTGATACACTAATTAAAACTAATATTCCACAGCCTACTGCATCAGAGGCTAGTGCACAGGCACCCATGAGACTCAAGAAAACACATATAACAACAGCGTGACAAGACAAACGTCAGATACAAGTGATAGAGCACAGATGCAGTCAGAAGGAAAAGTAGCACTAAGCAAAATAAATGACTGGTACAAAGAGACTGAAAGTAAATGTAGGGCTTAAAAAAAAACCAAATACACATTTTCTGGAGTGAAAAAATCGAGTAACAGATCACCCCACCTTCCTCGCACGCAGTCCTTTTGTTCCATAACAAGCTACAATCTACTTTATCTGAAAACAGTGTGTGAAATCACGAGGAAATCATCTCTCTGAAATACCAAGCAGTGTGATTATTTATAGTGTTGCAGGCAACACCACAAGCATGACTTTTTGAGTGAATTTCATTGTGAATATATTTTTAATGCTCCTTCAGGGCCATTTGCTTTTTCTTCTCAAAACATTGTCTTACAGTTCTGAATCCCAGTGCCTAATAAAGCTGTCATTTTTGAGAAAAGCATGTTTAGCAATTGATATTATTCATATTATCCTTTCAGAGTGAGGAGCTTGACTCACTGTTTTGGGGTTATGTTGCACCCACAAATCCAAGCCCTGAATTAAGACCCCCAGGTATTGTGCTGCACACTGTATGGAACAAATACCCCAAAGCTATTTCTCAGTACAGAACCTCACAATTTGAGCATTCATTCTCACTTCCATCTCTTTCCAAGTCAAACACCATAACACATCCAAAGATCTGTGACCTCCAAGAAAGTGCAATAAAATAGAAAATATTTTCTTTACGAGTAAATTATTTTCTTTTAAAGGTGGTAAACCCCAGAGGATTGTTTCATTTTATTATAACTCTGTATGTTGCATATGGTGGTGTGAAAACTGATAATCAAAAAATGTTTGCAGCAGTTCTATGCCAATGCAGTGCACAGAAAAGAGAATATTTCAACCTACACTATAAATATGATAAAGATCATCACTAGCAAGCTGAACCCTTTAAAAGTAATAACATACTGTTTAATACCCTAAAAAGTTTAAGGTTAAATTTTGAAGACTGGAAAGCAAATTCCACAGACACTTGAAACACAACTGGCTTCCAATAACATGACTTGGGTATTTCTAATATGGGTTTAACTGTGCTAAAATACAGCCTCCAACAGACACACAGCTCCACAGCAAAGCAAGGAGAATCAAAGTAATGCAGTGGGAGGGACCCTGTATAAGGAAAAACTTTCTGAGATGAACACAGTATGAGACCGCTTTTCCTTATGCTTTTAATGTAGAGCAAGCAGATCTTCAGGACGACCTAAAATTCTGGGTTCAGAGTGCATATGCAAAAAAGGGCATTTGCATGCAGACATGTTCTAACTGCAGAACAGGCAGGGAACTGATAGGGCTTTCTTCTAATAGTGCTGGAACAACATGAAAACTTCACATACAATTTCAATACAACAAATTGCAATTTTTTTCCTACAACAAACAAAATCTGTGCACACCTAAGTGTGCATTTATGTAGCTTGTAAGACTGTTCAAGATTTATAAGGCTGGCGGCTAATGACAACTTACTGTGAAAACAGTTTCTCTGAAGGCTAAATATTTTTCTGCAAAACCTGTATAGAATGTGCCAAATTATTTCTCAGTACTGAAAAATGTAATGATTGTAATGTCTGCTGTTTGGAGTTCTTTAAATTTTTGTAGCTCACTGCTTCTGCCTCTTCTTTATCGGATTCCCCTCCCTTGTAAGCAAACTGAGGAAGATAGGATGGTCATCGCTCTGTGACTTATATGGACAATTCACTGAAAGAACAACCCAGGCATCAAGACCTGAAACAGGTGATTACCGCCCCTGCAAACATTCTTCCTGAAAGCCCATGTATGATACCAGGCGTTAAATGTTCTTGTTTTCCCATTCTTAAATAGAACTGCTCAGTCTGTCTGTGAAGGTCACAGCATTTCTCAGCATCCCACCTTTTGGAGCATGCCTGTGACACAGAGAGCAGAGCAGAGCTTCCAAAGCTCCCACGCACCTAGTGCTGGCTTTCAGCTTGGCTAATACAGATCCACTGCTCTTCAGTTAAAGATGAGGACACTGGCTCTGTGCAGTTGCTATCTGGGTTTACTCAAAGTTTCTCTCAAAATAAGAGCTGCAGTTCAGAACCCCAAAAATCAATCTCTATTTCTGGAAGAAAAAAATCTGGTCAAGGTATTTCTTGGTATGGTATCCTCTGTGCATCCCCCTTAGCTGTGAATAGGGCAAGGATGTAACATAGCAGAATTTTCCTGAAACACAAACTTCTGTTGAATTAGGGATGCTTTAAAAATAGTATTTCTATTTTTCAAGTCGGTAGAGTGTTTAGAACACTACTTCCTGTTAACAGAAAATTTAAGTGACCAAAATATCTACACAACAGGTTTTTCTTTCTTTCCCTGAATAGTATCACAGAATCACAGAATGGTTTGGGTTAGAAAGGACCTTAAAACCCATCAAGTTCCAACCCCCTGCCATGGGCAGGGACACTTTCCAGTAGAGCAGGTTGCTCCAAGCTAAGTCCAGCCTGGCCCTGCACAGTGCCAGGGACTGGGCAGCCACAGCTTCTCTGGGGACCCTGTGCCACTGCCTCACCACCCTCACAGGGAAAACTTTCTTCCTAATAGTATTTT